ATATAAACGTGCAATAATCAATACAAACAGTTTGTACGAATCTTAAAATCTTCAGAATTCTATTAAGGCTTTTTTGCTGCAGGAAACGCACAGAAGAAAGCAAGTTTAATCCATTTGGAACTAACCTTTAACTAATGCTTCTAACAGTTAATCAATCACACAGAAATGTTTACTGCCACCTAGTAATTAAACGGTACCCCAGGAAGGGCCGCCACATCACCGTTTTATGTCGACTAAGCATAAACGTATCAACATTGACATGCACACTCTCAACAAGGAACCAAGTAGAGAACGACATCCCCATTACAAACAGACCAGTTAGTGCAGCAGTATGCTGGTGTTATTTAATGCAAAACAAAATAATAGTCTTGTCCATTTATAACATGCACTGCAGCATTTTGATGTTATTTAATGCTAAACAAAATAATAGTCCTGTCCATTTATAACATGCACTGCAGCATTTTGATGTTATTTAATGCTAAACAAAATAATAGTCCATTTATAACATGCGCAAGCATTTTGATGTTATTTAATGCTTAACAATATAATAGTCCATTTATAACATGTGCAGCAGCATTTTGATGTTATTTAATGCTAAACAATATAATAGTCCATTTATAACATGCGCAAGCATTTTGATGTTATTTAATGCTTAACAATATAATAGTCCATTTATAACATGTGCAGCAGCATTTTGATGTTATTTAATGCTAAACAATATAATAGTCCATTTATAACATGTTTATCTCGATGCAATATGACATGGTTGAAGCGCACATGGGAAGTTTATGGAGATAGGCTTGAAAAGTGCCTTGAACATAGAGGTGGAAAGGGGTTTAACATCCCGTCATATTGCACATATATAGCGACGTGCATGTACGTGTTTGTGTTTGTGTGGCTGCTTGTACTAGTCCAGACTGATGCTGATTAATAGTGTTAGCTCACTGAGATACCATGCAGTTTAACATAAATACCCCACTTAGACACAGTGTACTGACTCAGAGCCGAGCAGTCCTGCCGGACAGGGTAACAACAAGTCCCATCTTTTAACGTCTTTTGATATGATGTGGCCGGGCATCGAACCCCGGACCTTCCGTTCTCCGGACGGGCACTCTACCACTAGACCATGGAGGCGGTCCCTTGAACATAGAGTAGACAGGACAGGTTCAAGTTCAAAGGGGAGCTGGTTCCATGCTACTGTTGCTGCACAAGAGATGGACTTTCCTCCATAGCATCTGGACCTCACAACACAGGTAATCTGGGCACTACTGAGATACACTGCTGGTTGATGCACAGTGTCTTGTATGTGATCCAGGAGCCCCAGGCATGGAGAGGTTTTATGTGTCTCGTTGAATGAACAGTCCACAGTCACCACTCTGGGCTATGTGACATCAGGAGCCCCAGGCATTGAGAGGTTTTATGTGTCTCGTTGAATCCACAGTCCACAGTCACCACTCTGGGCTATCTGACATCAGGAGCCCAAGGCATGGTCAGGTTTTAGGTGTCTAGCTGTTGAATCCACAGTCCACAGTCACCACTCTGGGATATCTGACATCAGGAGTCCCAGGCATGGTCAGGTTTTATGTGTCTAGCTGTTGAATCCACAGTCCACAGTCACCACTCTTGGCTATGTGACATCAGGAGTTCTAGGCATGGTCAGGTTTTATGTGTCTAGCTGTTGAATCCACAGTCCACAGTCACCACTCTGGGCTATGTGACATCAGGAGCCCCAGGCATGGTCAGGTTTTATGATTCTAGCTGTTGAAACACCACAGTCTACAGTCACCACTCTTGGCTATCTGACATCAGGAGTTCTAGGCATGGTCAGGTTTTATGATTCTAGCTGTTGAAACACCACAGTCCAGAGCTCCAGATAAGCTTTTGGTGTTGTGGGTATTTTACCCATGCATTTTAAAATCATTGGGTATCAGTAATTCTATCTGCATATTCAAATTTCTGTTACCCACTAGTTTTTACACATGTGGGTATTTAAGTTAAATATTTAAAAACACTATTCATCTAGTCCCTGCAAACTGGTGTCGTGTGGGTTTGAGAGCTTTATAGGACTCAAAAATACCACGATACTTCCACACGAAAGTGTGATGGCAAATGAGCATGATGTGACTGTCATCGTGGAGTTTGGCAAGGTTGACGGAATGCCCGTTTATAATTTCAAAATAAGTTGCTGATTTGCTAATCGAATACGCAGGGTTACTTCACAATATTTTGATGATACGCACACATTTTATTTTTGTAGCGTATCTGTAATGTTCGTTGCGTATTTGATACGCTTGGATTATATTTTACTGCGTATTTCTGCATTTCTGAAGCGTATTTCACGCAGATATGCAGCTAATCTGGAGCTCTGACAGTCTACAGTCACCACTCTGGGCTATCTGACATCAGGAGTCCCAGGCATGGTCAGTTTTATGTGTCTCGTTGAATCCACAGTCCACAGTCACCACTCTGGGATATCTGACATCAGGATCCCCAGGCATGGTCAGTTTTATGTGTCTCGTTGAATCCACAGTCCACAGTCACCACTCCGGGCTATCTGACATCAGGAGTCCCAGGCATGGTCAGGTTTTAGGTGTCTAGCTGTTGAAAAACCACAGTCTACAGTCACCACTCTTGGCTATGTGACATCAGGAGTTCTAGGCATTGTCAGGTTTTATGTGTCTAGCTGTTGAATCCACAGTCCACAGTCACCACTCTGGGCTATGTGACATCAGGAGTTCTAGGCATGGTCAGGTTTTAGGTGTCTAGCTGTTGAATCCACAGTCCACAGTCACCACTCTGGGCTATGTGACATCAGGAGCCCCAGGCATGGTCAGGTTTTATGTGTCTAGCTGTTGAAACACCACAGTCCACAGTCACCACTCTGGGCTATCTGACATCAGGAGCCCCAGGCATGGTCAGGTTTTATGTGTCTAGCTGTTGAAACACCACAGTCTACAGTCACCACTCTTGGCTATCTGACATCAGGAGCCCCAGGCATGGTCAGGTTTTATGTGTCTAGCTGTTGAAACACCACAGTCTACAGTCACCACTCTTGGCTATCTGACATCAGGAGCCCCAGGCATGGTCAGGTTTTATGTGTCTAGCTGTTGAAACACCACAGTCCACAGTCACCACTCTGGGCTATCTGACATCAGGAGCCCCAGGCATGGTCAGGTTTTATGTGTCTAGCTGTTGAAACACCACAGTCCACAGTCACCACTCTGGGCTATCTGACATCAGGAGTTCAAGGCATGGTCAGGTTTTAAAGTATTGACTTGCAGACTAATAGATTGCAACTCACTTTAAATGTCTAGAGGGCAAAAATTACCTCTTTACAAACTTGTGTCTGGAACGTGGATGTCACCAATGATGTAATCAACCTCTGAGCTCTCACAAATTCCAAACGATTCCTCCCCATGCATAAAAAAATCACTCCTAAACCATTTACAGATTCTTCAAATCCACCATTCCAAGATTAATCTGAGATTAATTTTTCCCCATTTCCTAGTTCCTGCTCAACCTCCACCAGCTTCAGCTCCATTCTTCCCCTCCAAATCCCATAAATATCAATATTTTCATCAACAAGCGACAAATGTGAGATTCATTCAAAAGCAATGTCCCACTAACCCAGCTCGACTAAACCAATCTTGTCTAGTCTGACCTCCTCTATACAATTATTGGCTGTGTGACAGATCCCTTGCTATGATGGAACCCTACTTGTAGTGGCATCACTTGTACTTATGCTCTGCTGGTTAAGTGGCAAGCTGAAGAGTCTGTCATGTTGGAGGGGTGAGTGAGTGAATATGGTTTTACGCCGCTTTTAGCAATATTCCAGCAATATCACGGCGGGGGACACCAAAAATGGGTTTCGCACATTGTACCCATGTCGGGAATCGAACCCGGGGCCGGACGAGTGAACGCTTTAACCACTAGGCTACCCGACCGCCCCTCATATTGGAGAATGACCTCGAGGATGACCTGGTGGATGACCTGGTTGATGGCCTGAGTGAGTGAGTGAGTGAGTATGGTTTAATGCCGCTTTTAGCAATATTCCAGCAATATCACGGCGGGTGACACCAGAAATGGGCTTCACACATTGTACCCATGTCGGGAATCGAACCCGGGTCTTCGGCGTGACAAGCGAATGCTTTAACCACAAGGCTATCCGACCGCCCCGGTGGATGACCTGAAGTGACTCACGTCACAGGCATTTACCATCTTGGTCCCCAGTGTTTTTCTAGTGGCAGAAAATGTCAGGCCAATAAAAAATGGAGCTGGTAATTTTTTACAAAAAAAAAAAATCAAGCAAGAAAAGTGTCAGTCCTATTACTGAGCCAGTGTCTTAAAATGATAAGCCAGGCGGACCAATCTTAGTTGTTGAAAAAATCTGGTGAAAATAAAAAATTGCTATATGGCAGCAGTCCGTAAATAATCAAGTCCCGACCAGACAATCCAGTGATTGACATCATGAGCATCGATCTATGCAATTGGGATATGATGACACATCAACCAAGTCAGCAGGCCTGATCACCTGATCCCATTAGTCGTTTCTTAACAACAAACATAGTTGCCTTTTACTATGAGCATTAGTTGCTGAAGACTAATTCTAACCCGGAATCTTCAAAGAATGAACTGTCAGTCAAGGATGATTCTATGCACACAGATGCTGTGTTCATTCTAGTTTCAGAATAAGTTTGGCCCTTGACAACATTAAAAACAAAGTATTAGTCCGTCTTCAACAAGTTTCAGGTCAGAGACATAACTACTCCTGTAAAACCCAGGAGCAGGGAATTGAGCCAGGTTGACTCTGGGATTTGAACCCACATCCTGCAGATGCTGGCACAACAAAGGGACACAACTCTGCACAGTGAGCCCTAAAACACTGGGTAGGAATGAAGACATCGTAATGTACAAAATGTCAATGTGTGGACTTATGTGAAGGTGTTGTATCATGTGTGCATGGGTATCTAGATCTGTTTACAACAAAAGCTGCCACTTACCCTCTCCAGTGCAATTTCCTCTGCCTCCCAGTCACCTTCGCCATTGGTCTGAAACATCAAGATGAAATAAATAATCCAAATGTCATCACATGTGAGAGTGAGTGAGTGAGTGAGTGAGTGAGTGAGTGAGTGAGTGAGTGAGTGAGTGAGTGAGTGAGTGAGTGAGTGAGTGAGTGAGTGAGTGAGTGAGTGGGGTTTTAGTGCTGCCTTAAACAGCTTTTCAGTGTCAGCTTAAGTAGGATGAAACCTGAATATATAACATCAATGACAGAGAATAACAAGTCTTAGTTGTCTTCTTAAACAGATTCCATTCAACGTAAAAGTCAAAACAGAGGTGAAAATTATATGAATGGATCACTGAAAATCAGTGACGGCACCAGGTGTTTGGGAAAACGGTCATACCTCAGGCAACTGTACATAATGTATGGCTGTGACTAAGTTCTAATTTACCGAGTGAGTGAGTTGAGCTCTATGCCTTTTTTTCAGGAATTGACACTTGTAACGAGTCCAAAACTGGTTAACCATACAGATGCCATCATCTCCACCCTTGGGTTGGACAGAAAGTACAAAGAATTGTGGATTATCTCCCCTGATCCAATGACAGCCAATCAAATGCCACTTAGCAGTTTGGTTGTTTGTTGTTAAACACAGCTCGGCAATATTCCAGCTGTATGACAATGGTCTGTAAATAATCGAGTATGGACCATACAAAACAGTGATTCATCTTGTGAACAACGACCAGGGTATGATGCTTGACTGATAACCAAGTTATCAAGCCTGACCCTCCGATCTATTTGGTTGCCTCTTACAACCAGCACAGGTTGCTGGGTTGGTTGGTTGGTTGTTTAACGCCGCACTCAGCAATATTCCAGCTACATGACAGGGGTCTGTAAATTATCAAGTCAGGACCAGACAAACCAGTGATTAATATCATGAGCATCGATCCATGCAATTGGGATCGATGACATGCATCAACAAAGTCAGGGAGCCTGACCACCCGATCCCGTTAGTCGCCTTTTACAACAAGAATAGTCGCCTTTTACGGCAAGCATGGGCACCTATTCTATCCCTGAATCCCCACGGGGTGCAACTTTGTGGCATCCACAGAGTATTGATACCATCTCCTACTGACACACCAAGGCACATAATGGGAACCCCAGAAATCATTGCATTAAGGGGACACAACTCTGCACAGGAAGTATAGCATACAGATTACACATGGAAATAGTGATTATTCTTGGTTGTATAAATTTGTGTTAAATATCCTGGAATTTGAGGTCCAAGTTGGTTGATTTAATCCTATGGTTGTTGTTGTACCAGAATATGCTGGCCATCCAACATACATGTGAAACTATGTGTTTGTTTGTTGTTTAATGCCGCAATCAGCAATATTCCAGCTATATGATGGCAGTTTGTAAACAAATATGTGAATCACAAGATCCCCATTGTTAAACAAACATGCGAATCACAAGAGACCCATTGTTAAACAAACATGTGAATCACAAGAGACCAATATTGAACAAACATGTGAATCACAAGAGACCAATATTGAACAAACATGTGAATCACAAGAGTCCCATTGTTAAACAAACATGTGAATCACAAGAGACCCATTGTTAAACAACCATGTGAATCACAAGAGCCCCATTATTAAACAACCATGTGAATCACAAGAGCCCCATTGTTAAACAACCATGTGAATCACAAGAGCCCCATTGTTAAACAAAAAAGTGAATCACAACAAACATGTGAATCACAAGAGCCCCATCGTTGAACAAACATGTGAATCACAAGAGCCCCATTGTTGAACAAACATGTGAATCACAAGAGCCCCATTGTTTAACAACCATGTGAATCACAAGAGCCCCATCATTGAACAAAAATGTGAATCACAACAAACATGTGAATCACAAGAGACCCATTGTTGAACAAACATGTGAATCACAAGAGCCCCATTGTTGAACAAACATGTGAATCACAAGAGCCCCATTGTTTAACAACCATGTGAATCACAAGAGCCCCATTGTTAAACAAAAATGTGAATCACAACAAACATGTGAATCACAAGAGCCCCATTGTTGAACAAACATGTGAATCACAAGAGCCCCATTGTTGAACAAACATGTGAATCACAAGAGCCCCTTTGTTAAACAACCATGTGAATCACAAGGGACCAATGTTTAACAAACATGTGTCACAAGAGACCCATTGTTTAACAACCATGTGAATCACAAGAGCCCCATTGTTTAACAACCATGTAAATCACAAGAGCCCCATCATTGAACAACCATGTTAATCACAAGAGCTCCATTGTTAAACAAAAATGTGAATCACAACAAACATGTGAATCACAAGAGACCCATTGTTAAACAAACATGCGAAACCACAAGAGACCAATGTTGAACAAACATGTGAATCACAAGAGATCCATTATTAAACAACCATGTGAATCACAACAAACATGTGAATCACAAGAGACCAATGTTGAACAAACATGTGAATCACAAGAGCCCCATTGTTAAACAACCATGTGAATCACAAGAGCCCCATTGTTAAACAACCATGTGAATCACAACAAACATGTGAATCACAAGAGACTAATGTTGAACAAACATGTGAATCACAAAAGCCCAATTGTTTAACAAACATGAGAATCACAAGAGACCAATGTTGAACAAACATGTGAATCACAAGAGCCCCATTGTTGAACAAACATGTGAATCACAAGAGCCCCATCGTTGAACAAACATGTGAATCACAAGAGCCCAATTAACAAACATGTGAATCACAGGAGCCCCATTGTTAAACAAACATGTTAATCACAAGAGACCATTACTAAACAAACGTAAATCACGAGACCCATTGTTAAACAACCATGTGAATCACAAGAGCCCCATTGTTAAACAACCATGTTAATCACAAGAGCCCCATTGTTAAACAAAAATGTGAATCACAACAAACATGTGAATCACAAGAGACCCATTGTTAAACAAACATGTGAATCACAAGAGCCCCATCATTGAACAAACATGTGAATCACAAGAGCCCCATTGTTGAACAAACGTGAATCACAAGAAACCCATTGTTAAACAACCATGTGAATCACAAGAGCCCCATCATTGAACAAACATGTGAATCACAAGAGCCCCATTGTTAAACAAACATGTGAATCACAAGAGCCCCATCATTGAACAAACATGTGAATCACAAGAGCCCTATTGTTGAACAAACATGTGAATCGCATGAGCCCCATTGTTAAACAAACATGTACATGTTAATCACAAGAGACCATTACTAAACAAACGTAAATCACAAGAGACCCATTGTTAAACAACCATGTGAATCACAAGAGCCCCTTTGTTAAACAAACATGTGAATCACAAGGGACCAATGTTTAACAAACATGTGTCACAAGAAACCCATTGTTAAACAAACATGTGAATCACAAGAGCCCCATTGTTGAACAAACATGTGAATCACAAGAGACCATTACTAAACAAACGTGAATCGCAAGAGACCCATTGTAAACAAACATGTGAATCACAAGAGACAATTACTAAACAAACGTGAATCACAAGAGACCCATTGTTGAACAAACATGTGAATCACAAGGGACCAATGTTTAACAAACATGTGAGTCACAAGAGGCCCATTGTTGAACAAACATGTTTATCGCAAGAGCCCCAATCATAAGGGACTGGATGATCAACTCTGACCACTAGGTGCCTCCTAAGATCAACACAAAAGGAACAATACACTATCACCAACAATCTCCATCCTTGCTAACACAACAAACACGAAGAAGGCCATACAAAAACCACCTGAGACCTGAGGTCATTAATTTCCTACATATAAGACCACCTCTGTGGTACACTCATCTCCAGAGACACATTATCAGCAGCGAGGGAAATCACCCCTCCCTCCCTTCTTTCAGTCAAATGAGACTTCAGTAAATCTATTCATATCAAACATCAAGAATTGATGGCATGGCAAATTCATCACTGTTTAACATTCATGCAGAATTCTATGTGCCTTTGTAAGGGAATATTGCGTGGAAGGGCTTCATCAGTCACGGAGAATCCCGCCGTGCAGTCGTTGTGGAGATTGTGGCCATGCAGGGTCTGGTGTCTGACTGGTCATCTGCACCAACTGGGACCTGGAGAGGCGCGTTATGCAAGATGCATGGGTTTAGTGAGTGAGTGAGTGAGTGAGTGAGTGAGTATGGTTTTACGCCACTTTTAGCAATATTCCAGCAATATCACGGCGGGGGACCCATGGGTTTAGTGCTTGCAGGATACCTCACAGTAAGAACGCCAAACACAGGCTTGGTGTTGATTCGTGTGTGAGTGAGTGAGTGAGTGAGTGAGTGAGTGAGTGAGAGGGTGGTAGGTGTGTGAGTGAGTAGTGATTGAGTGAGTGAAAGGGTCGGAGGTGGGTCGCCTCAAATGGCTTTTTAGGAAAGCCGAAAGTGAGTGAGTGCTTGAGTGAGTGCTTGAGTGAGTGCTTGAGTGAGTGGGTGAGTGTCTTAAAGTCGCCTCAAACACCTTTTAAGGAAAGCATAAGAGTGATGCTGAGCCAAGACGTTTACCACTTTGGTGATCCCCTGATCAATTGTTTATCCAAATGGCTGTGACTTAAGTTCAAATTTATCCAGTGTGTGAGTTGGGTTTAAATGTAGTCTTGAACAGTATACAATTACATCTCAGCATGTCAGCTTAATGTGGGAGGAAAGCTCAATGTGATCCAGGTCTTCCATGTTTACCACTTGGGTGAAAACTACGAGCATGGGTATTACTCCAAGTACTAAAGGTGATGATGGCATGAGCAACAGCCAAGGCTGTCAACAGAGTGTGTGATTCAATCCCAGCCAGCCTTGCATGAGTTTGTTTGTTTGTTTAACGCTGCACTCAGCAATATCCCAGCTATATGACTGTGGTCTGTAACATATCGAGTCAGGACCAGACAATCCAGTGACTGATACCATGAGCATCAATACATGCAATTGGGTTGGTTGGTTGGTTGGTTTGTTGTTTAACTCTGCACTCAGC